AACAATAGACAAGAATATTTTCTTTCTCAAGAAATGTCTAGAATTCATGATTTTGAAACGCAATCACAAGAGCCCCAGAATCAAAGTAAAAAACCAGAAACTTTTCAACAGGAACTTCGACAAGTAGTTAAGACGATCTCAGCGCCACAGATGGTATCTAACGAAACTAAAAGATTACTAGCGTTCCACTTTCAAAAAAAAGAGGTGTTACCAACGATGTCTATGACATGAATGGAGTCATGAGAGTTGCAACTAACTAATGAATTGACTTTCAATTGCTTTTCCATCTTATCTTACATTACAATTCCTTGTATTCCATATTAACTAAATATAAGCTAAATTGATTAAATCCAACCCAGGTCTAACAAATATAAATGAGCAAATTTGTTTGGATGTGGACAACTAATAATTTTATTATTCATATGAAAATAGTACATTTCGACTTAACTCAGTCCTCTTCAGCTGTAGATGCATATATGTATTTTTTACAAAGAAATTAACCTTACGCACAAATTATTATAAGAATTATCTCTATTTCTTAATATTTTAAAAAACAACAACCGCATTATAACTTATTTTTAGATAGTCAAATTATAAATTGATGTGTTGCAATAGTCATTTTTCCATTTTTTTGAACCGATTCCTTGATGGTTGAGAAAACAGACAGTCGATGTTTAACTGCAATTTCCAGTCGGTATAATCGTCGGTATCTCAATATAGCAGATATAATAAGGTTGTGAATCTATATTAGAAAACTAAATAAAATAAAAATAAAAATAACAATAAAATTATGTCAATTGACATAATTTACTATTATCAAAAACTGATAATAGTAAAATTATGAGTACTAAATACATATAATATTAAAATTAATGAATTGTAATGTATAAATTACAAACCGTCAAAAATTGTTATAATTAATAGAAGAATTATTATCAATAGTTAATAAGGAAATTATAAAATTATATTATATGGACAAATACATGATATTAAATTAGATTGAGTGGTATATATAAGTATAATTCTAAATAACTTACTACATGTAGAGATTGAGTGGTATATATAAGTATAATTCTAAATAACTTTAATACTACATGTAGAGATGATGTTAAATGTGAACATTAATAAACTTTATTGTAGGAGAATTTTTCATGACGACACTAATATTCAGCTACATGCATGATCAGTAAATTGATGTATAGCATAGGTTATAGCTGCATCAATAAACTAAATAAATTTATAAGAGCATATAAGGACAAAAAAGAACATTATAACAATAATGTAGTTTATATGATCTTGTGTAATGATTGTGATTTTACGTTAGACAGACAAAGAGGAGACTTAACTTAAATAAATTAAAAACTTAACTTGAATAAATGAATATATGAAAAATAAAAGACTTGATTCAATTAAATTTTCAGTTATTACGGAACATTCATTGCGAAGTAAACACAATTTTGATTGGAAGCACGTAAACATTTTAGACTCTGAATCTAATTATAATAAAAGATTCATTTTGGAAATGTTACATATCAAGGAATAGAAAAACGATTTAAATTTAAAGACACTAAATCTTTAGATGATATTTACTGACTTGTTGAAGGTAATTGCGAATAAAAACAAATCTAATAAGATTAGCCGCCTCTTTGTTTGTCAGACGTCCTTTAATCACATATATTATAATTGTACGAAAAACTCTCCTACTGTTAAGTTCCGTCGCTAATATCGGTAATATTATAAAGTTCGATGACATTAGTGGTCACATACATTATCATTGTGCGAAAAATTCTTATACAAAGTTCATTTATGTTCACATTTAGCATCATCTCTACATGTAATAAGTTATTTAGAATTATATTATACTTATATATATCACTCAATCTGTATTAATCATGTCTGTTTATATAATATAATTTTACAACTTCCTTAACTATTGATAATAATTCTTTTATTAATTACAACGACTTTTGACAATTTATAATTTATACATTACAATTCATTAATTTTAGTTCATAATTTTGTACGCACGCACGCATGCACGCATGCACGCACGCACGCAAATATTTTATTGTTAGGTTCTGCGTAGAAAAAAGAAGGCAGATAATGAGAGAGTGAAGTTCGCGGATTAGGCAGACTTCTAAGTAAAGGCTACAGAATTCATCGAAGAAATTAATGAATGTGGGAGGATAAGGACAATGGGTGAGTTGTAGAGTGAAAAATTAAGAGTGCAGGGACTGAAAGGGACTGAATTGAGTGAGATTTTTTTCTAGAGAGTGATCTAATTAAGTTCCCGAAATAAGTAATTGAAAGAAGGGACTGTTTTCTAGAAGTGTATTTTCGAGGTTCCCTGACGCTTGGCGGCCTCAACGATCTGGTTGTGTCTCTTGAAGCAAAAGGGCCTTTGGCAGCGGTGGAATGGTTGCTTCAAAATTTGCACTGATGATATAATTTTGAAAAATGTAACTACATAGAGCTCTATAGAAATATACGGAACTTATTTTTCTCTATGTCGTGCCTCGCGATATCGCGATTTATATAGGCAGTTTATCGGAGATGGTTCTTTGGTAAGGTGTGTCTGAAATCGAGGAATCAGATTCATAGGATTTTTCCTACCATTTGGTATGATAACAATTTTAACTAGTCATTGGAAAGTTGCTCTTAAGTTGGCTCCGTCCGCGTTATAAGTTCCGATTTTTTTCTATTCTTATTGGTAGTTTACGTGGGGAGAATGTGTTGTGGATTAACGGTTTCTTTTCTTGTCATTTTTACAACTGAGAAAAACCATCTATGTTTTATCTCTGGATTTAGTTAAGTGTGAGTCGCAGTTTGTGTTGTTTTTTTCCGATATCGGAAGATGTCATTAAATTTTATGATCCTGTCTTAAACCTACGCATGAGACTCGCGTGATATCAGTGTGAGATGATTAAACATTTCGTTTTCTTTTGAGTATCGTGTCCGCACTGTTACCCTTATTATTGCGGGAATCGTTTTGCGGCCCAGCTTAACATCTTGATACTGACGCGGTGTGACAAAGTTTATTTAATGATTTTCTTTTCCACGATGCTCGAAAGGAGATTTAACGCTTGATTTCCAATGCGTTGAGGCTATAAAAGTTTTCTTTATCGCTTGATTCTAAATAAACATAGATTTTTTGAAACTAGAAACTTCCCTCGGATTCATGTTATCGGTTATTTATTCGTCCCTTAATTTATTGAACGCAAGACGAAGAAATCGTAGAATCCACCGTAACAATTTTTTATATAGTTGTTAGAGAAGAATTAAAGTTCTTTTTTAAATAATATCATTTGCTCAATAATATTATTTGCTCATTATTTTCCGCGCTGATTCTTAGTCTTTTATACTTTTTAATTAATTGTTGAATTTTAAGAAATCCGTTAGTTGATTTTATAATCTTATCTATTTACTCTATCTCAGCAATAAAAAATCTGAATATATCAATCGAATATGCGTTCGAAAGAGTAAGAATAACATTTTAATGTGACATCTACCTGAAAAAAAATTGTTAATCATTTTGTAAATCGTTGAAATTAGTAGAGTACATAATTTCTTTCACATTTAGGTTAAAATATCTTAAAAATTTGAAGTGATACAATTTCGCAGTTACATTTGCAATCAGCACTTCAAAATCTATCAAAAACAATTTCGTCATCTTTAAGTAAAAATGATGTCAATCAGTGTTATTATTTGTTTATTTTCTTTTGTATTATTAATAATTAAATTAATAAAAATGAAGTAAAATATAAGCTTCATTGATTTTAAGATTTCACAAATAAATTGCAAACATATTAGGTGTAGTAAAAAGAAATCCATTATTTTTCGAATAGATGACTTTATAGTAGTAATCTGTATGTCGTCTATGCGTGATACAGATTACTAAAGCCATCTATTGGAAAAATAATGGATTTCTTTTTACTACACCTAATATTTTACAATATAATATATTTCATTTTTCCATAAATTTTTATTATTATTATTCAATATTTTTTGAAAAACTGTTTAATAATGTGAGAATATTGAAAATTAAAAAATTCAGAAAAAAATACGCGATTGATATATTTTGAGTATATATAATATAATAATAAATTAAAATTAGATATAATAAAAAACTTTTTTAGTTTTTATGCAGTATATATGTACTTTTATTAATTATTTTTGATGTAATAAGTTTAACTTTTTGTCCTTAAAATGTACCAAATACAAAACTGCATTTAAATGTATGTTGTCTATTTTGAAGACATTCATTCGATGGATTTGATGTTCCCAAATGTTATCATCCATAAAATCATTGTATAATTTCGAGTCCTCAAAATGTACCATATATCACAAAAAATACTAGCTTGATCAAAAAGTTTCCGGAATTCATTCAGAAAATTCAAAATACAAGTTTATTCATCAAAAGTGATATTGTCCCCTTCAAAGTACTCTCCAGCGACTGCAACGCACTTATGCCAGAGCTTGATCCAGCTCTCGAAACATTTCTGGAACTCTATTATTGATATAGCCATCAGAGCCGTCTTCGATTTTTCCATTACCTCCTTTCGGCTATTAAAACGCGTTCCCCGCAGGTTTTTTGACTCGATCGAACAGAAAAAAATCGCAGGGAGCCATATCGGGTGAATTCGATGGCTTGGATGGTATTCGTTATTGCAAACTCGTTGTTGCAAATTCAACTCCATTTTTAAAACTGTAAAAAATCGAAAACACGCGCAGAGGTAGATGTACTCAAGACGGTGTAATTTTTACAAATGTTAAGCTATGGCGATAAAATTTGATGGAAATGTCAATGATAGATGTGGTAACCTAGCCAAAAAAAAGAACTCAAATCAGCTGACTCAGAGCATCACCTGGTGGTCTCTTCCGGAAATTTTTTGATCAAGCTGGTATTCTTGAAATATACCAAAGCCATATATATACACACACATTCGTATATATAAGTGTATACATGTATATTAGTGAAAGTAAATATTCTAGTTACTAACCAGCGTAATAAACAGTCTTGCGAGAAACGTTGTATAAAGCTTTAGATATGCTGAGCAAACATTTAACAATAGTTGTTTCCGGTAAATCTTCATCCAATAAGGTGACGTGCAACAGGATATTGTACAGCCCGTCGTCACGCAGTTTTATGGTGGAATTATCATTTTTTCTCTCCGGAATATTTCTGCAATGTCAATATGAATACAATTATGAAAATTATATATAAAGCAAAAATATTTACATTTTGATAAACCTCTGTCTTAACTTGTTTTAAATAAATATTAGGTGTACAAATTAGTTTCCGCCGTTTGACAAAAGACGGCGTCACTAGCAAGCTATGGTTAAAATTGTCTGATGTAAAACATTATATCGTAAGGTTGGACATCTGTCAACAACATAACCTTGAAAGCTAGCGATTTTGTATCAGCATCATATATTTTTTTTTGTGCGAAAATGCCGAGTTTTGAACCGAATAAACGTCATTTGCGGGAACTTTTGATTTACTTCTTTAATTTGAAGAAATCTGCAGCTGAGGCTCATCGATTGCTTGTAGAAGCATATGGTGAGGCTGCCTTAAGTGAGAGAAGTTATTGTGAATGGTTTCAAAAATTTAAGAACGGTGAATTTGACGTCGAAGACAAAGAACGTAGCGGAAGGCCGAAAGTGTACGAAGACGCGGAATTGGAAGCATTATTGAATGAAGATTCGTGCCAAACGCAAAAAGAACTTGCACTTACATTAGGAGCGACTCAACAAGCAATTTCACATCGTTTGAAATCATTGGGAATGATTCAAAAGCAAGGGAATTGGGTTCCATGAACTGAAGCCGAGAAACGTTGAACGCCGATTTTCCATATGTGAAATGCTGCTTGTCAGGCATAAACCAGTTTTTTACATCGTATAAGTCACTGGTGATGAAAAATGGATTCACTACGATAACCCAAAGAAGAGGAAATCATGGGGATCACCTGGCCATGCTTCAACATCGACAGCCAAGCCGAATATTCATGGAAAAAAACTCATTGTGTATTTGATAGGATCAGCTTGGTGTCGTGTATTATGAGTTGCTCAAACCGAACGAAACCGTTACTGGGGCTCTCTACCGAACACAATTGATGAGATTGAGCCGAGCACTCAAGGAAAAACGCGCCCACTACTACTCCAGGCATGACAAAATTATTCTCCTGCATGATAATGCTCGACCACATGTTGCGGCGCCGGTCAAAACCTACTACACTCAATTGGGAAGTTCTACCCCACCCGCCGTATTCACCAGACATTGCCCCTTCCGATTATCATCTATTTCGATCGATGGCGCATGGCCTGTCTGAGCAGCATTTCACATCATGAAGATATCAAAAATTGGATCGATAATTGGATAGCCTCAAAAGATGAAACTTTCTTTTAACGCGGTATCCATATGCTACCAGAAAGATGGGAAAAAGTAGTGACTAGCGATGGACAATACTTTCAATAAAACATTATGTATCGTTCTTTCACAATAAATGCTTAATTTTTTATAAAAAACGGCGGAAACTTATTTGTACACCTAATATTTCTTTTAGAAAATATTGTCAATAATTTCGATATTACAGTATGTTAATTATAAAGATCAGATTTCAAATATGGTTTAAAAATTTAATGTTGTTCCTTGTTCATTCTAAAGTTATAAATAATTAAAGTCGATGAATAATATTGTAACTCGTGTACTTTTTATGATAAAAAAACAAGAACTTTGATAACACACTATTAATTATCTCAACGGTACAAAATAAAAAGGTAGAATAATTTTTAAATGATATAGTGTAAGTTGTAGATCTAATGGTATAATAAATTGTATTATAGAAATTTCTCAAAAACCTCGTTTTTTTATCAAAAAATCTTTTTTAAATAGGAGCATGTACATGAAAAATCGTAATTTCGCTATTTACTATCTAATTTTAATATTTCTTATATTTGGAAAAGGGAAAGAAGGATCTTTTCAATGATATATTTGTTATATCCTAACGACGGAAAATTGCTACGTATGATCATATTTTTTTGCAATAAGTTGTGAATATTTTATTTTGTAGTATCTTTCCTTTATTCGCATATTTCGAAGGTAATGAATTCCACGTCTATAGGCTCTTGAACGTAAAATATTTAAAATGTAATATTTGAGCAGTAAGGAAATCAACATGTTGGATTCTCACAATACAGTTATATAGTCTGTAGTGTGCAGAGATGGGTATGATTGACATTCAACACTTGATGATTAATAAATGAGAATTTATTTTTAATGGGTCTTTTTAATAAATGATTTTAACCTTTCAATAAATGATCATTTATTTAAATAACAAAAAAAATAAACAATAAAAATTTAAAAGTGGAGTAAAAATGCTCGTATATTTTCTTAAAAAATTAACACAATGTTAAGGCTTATTTCGAGCTATAATTAAATTAACTTTAAATTAATATGATTAACAGACGTTTCGGCTTACAAAGCCTTCTTCAGTGTTACAACGCAAAAATACAATCTTACATTAACGAATAAAGAATAATGGATACAAAATTTAAAAATCCTCAATGCTGAAGTATCAAAATATAAAAAAATATAAAAGAACATAAAAAAAATATAAAAAAAAATTCGAGCGTCAATAAGTCCTGCCAGATGACAAAAAGCTAGGAACATTTGAATACTTCAGTAGATCAATTATGTTCATCGATAAAATAGATTTGCCAATTTCCTCGGTTGAGATCGAGAATCCAGTTTGTCACAGATTTATATCAAACGATTTGAGAATTCTTTAATTAATATTTTAGAGTATTTTATGATATTCTGTAGAACAAATAGATTTAAGATAATATATTATTAGTGTGAAAAAGAGGTACAGAATCAAATCATAACTTATGATACTTTATATAAAATACTGCAATCTAAACTCTCCATCAAAAATCCGATTAAGTACAATAATAATATTGTTGCTGGTTTGAATTAACTAATGTGAAATATAGATCAAATAAAAATAAGTCAATAAAATCGAATGTAAAAACAAGTCTGACCATTTATGTTCTCGTATATCATCAAGTATGTTAAAATAAGAATTATCCAATAACTCAGTATCTTTCATTAAATTTAAACTGTTTTTTTTTTGTTCTTTAATGTGTATCATTTCAGAAATATTTTTTTTACGATAATTCTTTTTAAAATCAAGAATACTAACTTTCTCCCAATCAAAGTCGTGATTAGTTTCTGAAATATGTTTCAAGATTACTGAGTACTTGGACTAGTCTAATTTTATATTATTGCGATGTTCTTTAATTCTTGTCTGCAATTGTCTCTTCGTTTGGCCAACATACGATGCATCGCAATTATTACAATTTACCAAAAATTTAAAAATTTATTCATTATTCGGCCGTTTGTGATTGACGAATAAAAATATGTTCGTTATTCACTCCACTTCGAATAAAGAGTACAAATTTATTATTCGAAACATAATAAATAATAATTGAAATTAAATACAATAGATATATTAGTGACATAATATGTAAGGACATAAAAATATATCTGCAAGTAATAGATCGTGAGACTGAGCGTAAAATTAATCGTAAATATTAATGCTCATCTAATGCTCAGGAGACACGCAATAGCACCCGGAAACGCTAAGTTTTTTCTTCACTATAATTCAGTTGATTACTTTAGTCATTTCGAGTTCGTTTTATGTTTTTTAAAAAATTAATAAATTATTTACAAATAAATTTTTCGAGATGTTTGTTGAGTAATGAAATACTTGGTTCACGTGTATTTCATATTCATTTTTGATCAGCAAGGATATATTTTTTCTTTTTTTTCAAAAGGTTTTTTAAAAGAGATTTTATTAATATGTGTGAATTTATCTGAATGCTCAAGGAATATAAAGGAACTTGAAAAGATTAATTATTATCGATTTATTTATGACTTTTTTTATTTATAATATTTAAACATTTAATTCTTAATACACATATGGTTTTCTAAATGCGATTCGAGAAAAAATATGTTTTATATCTTAAATTTGACAATTCGAACTAAAATGTGTTAATATTTGTAATATCTTAAAAAACTGTGTATGCATATAAATAGTTTGTGAAATCCCTGTAATATATAGAAAAATTAGTTAAAACTAAAGAAAAATTTCTCAATCAACAAAAAAATATACTCACTCTATACACGATTGGGTTATTCGTGACATGTTTATGTGTGTCATTACCAGTTTTATTTTATATTTCTTGCTGCTAAAACACGTTCAAAGTTTTGATCTGTTAATTTATTGTAGCGTGGCAAATTATACATTGTTGCAAATGAAAATAAATATTCAACTGGAGCAGAAAAAGGTAATGGCGTATTATATTTAATAAATAATTTCTTGACAATTGAATATGCGTTAATTGCGAACATGTTATCAGTACATGGCTCGTGTATACTATATATCTTCGTATTTTCATTTCAGCATCAGAATTTTCAAACGTCACTAATGGTAAAATTGAATTATTTTGTTCATCTACAAAATAAAAAAAAACATCTTGTATTTTGATTAGAAACAGTACTTTGTTGAGCTGTACTTTCAATTCGAGCAGCATGCATCACAGCTTTATAAACTTCCGATTGAGTGTACCATTTAAGCATCCAATCCATTGTGTTTTAAATTTAAGATGTATAATTGCTGTAAATGCTGTGAAACGTCCATTACCTTGGACGTTGAAAAAATCATTAAATCATCTCTCAATGCTGATTAATAAACTTTCTGCTATTGGTTGACAAAAGACTAAGTTATCATTTCTAATGCGCATTAATTTTTGGCGCAGAGAAATCAAGCAAGGAAGTAGATATTCATGTGAACAATGTGTTTCTCCTTGTAATTTATCAATAGTTTCTGGAACTGATCGCAAACATAAGAGATATTCCTCGATGTACTAAAAATATATATCTCTTAGGAGATTGGCAATTTCAAGATGTCTATTGACCTTTAATATTTTTTCTCTTAACAAAAGTATTTGTTCTAGAGAATGGAATAATTAATTCCATTAAATAGGAAATCGGTTTCATTAGAGCTTTTTCTAAATGCTGTGTTAAAATTTCTCTTTTTTTTTGGAGCAAATTTTCCACGCAATTGTTTCCACAGTACCTCATATCGAGTAATCGCTTCATCATGTTGTACAGATAATGTA